AGTATTCTTGCCTGGAGAATTTTATGGACAGAGGAGCCTGGCAGGCTACAGTCCATGAGGTTGCAAAGAGTTAAACATGACTGAGCTATTAAACTCTCACTTTCTTCTTTCAGTATTGAATTGTAATCCAAAGAATAAAGTAAATAGTTATGATGAATATAATATGACAGTGTTGTAAAAAATAAAGAAATTTTCTGATCAATAAATAAATAAGAGGGGAAGAAGGGACAACTCTTGAAGAGTTGTAATTTATACTGTTGAAGGAACACAGGAAACAAAAGCTCCCCATTAGACCACCACAGGGATCATTGCTACAGTCAAGATCTGCCAATGAGTGCTAAAATAACAGGTGAAAGTTTAAGGAGAATAGGGTAAATAGAGTGTCAATGTATCTTCTCTAAAATATTTATTAATTTCAAAGGGCAAAATAATTTTATAATAGGGTAACCCATCAGATACCACCTTAATCAAGAGATCAAGGTTAACCCTACCTGTAATTAAGGCATAATACCTGCTCCCCCAGATATGAGGCCCTGAGAGGAATACATCACCTCTGTGATGTTCTTCTCCAAAAGTAATCATCTTAATCTAATCGTGAGAAAACACCTGGCAAACCCAGACTGAGAGACAGCCTACAAAACATGTGGCCTGCCCTGTTCACAGTCAAGAAAGACAAGGACAGCCTGAGGAAATGTTGCAAAATAGAGAAGTCCAAGCCTGGTGGACCGCAGTCCGTGGGCAGAGTCAGACACGGCTTAGCAACTAAACAACAAGGAAGTCATGACAACTGAGTCCACTGTGGAATACTGCACTGAGAAGGGACATTAATGAAAACACTGGAGCGATCTTAATGAAGTCCATGTTTAATTAACAGTGTTGGCATCAGTGTTATCTTTGGTTTTGATTATTTATAGTTATATGAAATGTTAATACTAGAGGAGGGAGTTGCATGAAGGACAAGGAGTTTTTCTTACTTTATTGTGGCCACTCTTCAGTAAATCTAAATTTATTTCAGAATTCAAAGTTAAATAATATCAAAACAAATCCGTCATAACATGGCATACATTCTGTGACAGAGAAACAAGAATAAAAAAGTGTCTGAGGAAATAGCAGCCATCATTTGAGGTATTCACTTGCAGATCGGAGCATTAGAGAAGACATTAAACTAGGCATTAAACTAAAAGGAGATTTCCTTTCCAGCAGGACAGTTTGGCTCTGGGTCTAGAATAGAGAGGAATGCACATGTGACTGTTCATAATGCTTTTCAAAAGTCAGATAATAATGTGGGGTCTTTGATTTTTCACTATTGTTGGGAGACTGTCTTTCTTTGTTTTTAGAATGGTTGACACATGTATGCACTCAAATGTTTAATGAAGGAAGGAATTTCACGTGCTGAAGCATTAACCCATTCCATATGAATAAATACGATAAAAAATCCTGCATAGCTCTACTGTTTTCATATTTCATCCCTCTTGGCCACCCCTTGTTTCACTGTATGCCTTTAAGCAGAAAGCTGCAGACTGTGAACAAAGCAAGTTGTCCAGATTCCAGTAAGAAACAAGAAGACTTTTAAGTGTCTTCCCATTGCCACTTCTTAAACCTGATAATTATTAACTTGTTCAAAAAATAGCTACATGTCACTGGGCCGGAGAAGGACATAAAGGTGGTTAACAGTGTCAGATTTGGTTTCTCTTGCAAGTTTGCAGCTTAGTGTAATTTCTAGCAAGGTCCTTAACATCCTACCCTCACTTCCTCCTAGAATAAGGATACCTCATGGGGTTATTAAGAAGAAATCATCTTAGGAAAGCTTAGATCAGCTTCTGGCACTTTTAAAAGAGATGATGACAACATATTCATTCAGCAAACCTTCATTGAACAGCTGCTGTCAGTGTGCTGGTTCTGGGGGTACAGTCCCCCTTCTGCACTCTCAAGGAGTTTAGTCTCATAGGGAAGACAGATAAGTAAAACAGAGAGAATTGCTATTCTTCCCTCGTATTGAGTAGCTTACTCAATGGGTACTGTTTATTGAGCACCTGCTGTGTTTCAGTAGCATACCTAAAGCATTATATATTATCTACTTTAAGTGTACATATCTACATATACTCATTATATATTGCTCATAGTCACTTTGTGAAGCGTAGACATTGTCTCTATTTTGCAAATGAGGAAACCAGGACTCTGAGAAATCAGTTTGCCCAAGATCACACAGCTAAGTGGAAAACCCAAGATTTGCCTGACTCCAAAGCCCTCCTTAACCCATAGATCACATGATTACAAATAAAATATTTAATGCTTCGACAGGGTTATAGACGACATCTACCTAAATGCTATTATAATAATTCTAATGAACCTGATAGTGTTGCAGTGCTTCTTTGAATGTTCCTGCAGGCTCAAGTTCCTATTTTCTTCAGTTACCTACAGGAAGTAGAGGTAACGTCTGTGTAGTAGCCCTCCTCTTCTGCGGCAGCAGGCAGCTTTCTTTGTCCCAGAGGGGTGTAGCCGAGGTTGAGTCCAGGCCACCATAGGCACTGCGGTGCTCTCCTACTTTGCTGTCGTCCTGCCGATGAAGCGTCCAGCGAGGGTGCTGAGAGGAGTGGAGTCCAAGCCGACAGGCCCATGTACCTCTTTGAGTTTGTTCTACAGGAGTCGGGGCGGGGTGGGGGAAAGGGTTTCAGATTGAAGGGGTTGAGAATGGCTCTTTGAGACATTAAAATGTAACAGTGCTATTTGGAGAGTGTCCTCAACTTACATGTGCTGAGACTCATCCTGTGATTATGGTTTAAAGGACAGCAATTATTGGACCTATTTCAGGATCTCCAAACACACATCCCAGAGCTTCTTGTGCTTCTCCATGTGACTGGAATTAACATCTTCCTCTTTGGATATTATTTGACCATCTGTCCTTGGCTGATTTGAGTGTAGATTTTTAGAAAATGAGAAATACCTGTCAATATGAACACACGGATTGTGATGGGGTGTGAATTGGTAGGTATAGAGGTGGGGTTGAGAAGATAAGACCTCTCTGACAGTCAGTTTGGAAAGCCAAGTATAGGACTGACTGCAGTTGCATAATGGAGGGAGGCATTCTCATTGCCTTGCATTTCTGGACGCCAAGGATGGACCACACCGCTGTTCCTCCAGGTTTAGACACACCATCCCTCTCCCCATCTTTTCTCTTCTGAACCCTTAAGCTTCTCCACGGCTCTTTTTCTTTCTGACATTTGTTTGTTTCCTTATTTATTTGACTGTGCCAAGCCTCAGTTGCGGCATGTGGAGTCCTCCCTCTTCACTGCGGCACACGGAATCTTGCAGTTGCGTCATGTGGGATGCAGTTCTCTGACCAGGGATTGAACCCAGGCCCCCTGCATTGAGAGCCTGGAGTTTTAGCCATTGGACCACCAGGAAAGTCCGTCTCCACACCTTGTTTTCCCTTCCGGTGTATTTTCTCAGGACCCATTTCTGTGAAGGGCAGTCATTGGTAATGATGGCTTCACTTAAGGAGAAGGGAGCTAACACTTCACATCTACTGTGCTCCGGGAATCAAGAATCTTACGTTCTTATCTCCTTTACTCCTCATAGCATCCTATCTGGGTAGGCAGATTATCCCCACACTTATAGGTGCAGAAAGAAAGATCCAGGAAGGTTAAATGACTTTAGTTACTAGACAGCTACTGAAGCCCACGCGCCCTCGAGCCTGTGCTCTGCAGTGAGAAGTCACTGCCCTGAGGAGCCCACGCACCGCAGCTAGAGAGCAGACCCCCTCACCGCGACTGGGGAAAGCCCAGCGCAGCCAAAACTGAAACTAAGCAGAGAAGTGCACCATAGTCTCAAGATGGGAGTAGAGGCTGAGTTTCTGCACAGCAGCCTGCTGGCTACACGTGTTCTGTGTTACAGCTGGGGCGCTTGAGGCTCAGGAGGGCTGAGCCTGTGTCCCACAGACAGTCTGGCGCAGGAGACTTGCTCCAGCCCACTGGGGGCACCTCTGAAAGCTCACCCTCCATGCAGTGCAGACACTAGCCAGAGGAGAGCCAGTTCTTATCACTAAGGTGTGTCCTTCAGGCAGGAGTCTGTTGCAGCATAAAGACAGTATGGCTGTAACTTACAAAATAACAGGAGTTTGTTCCTCCGCTGAGAACATGAGACTCTGTGAGGGCTTAGCAAAAGCTTGCATTTACACCAGAGTGCTCACTGTGTTTGTCTTCCGTGGTAACTTCCGTGTGTATTGAAGGCCTCTGAGTACAGTGCTTCCAGAGTGCATATGCTGTATATCAAAGCTGCAGATTCAGTGTGACTGATATCATGAGGGGAAGGCCATTAACTGTTTAGTATAATGCCACCATGTTACAAAAATGAGTAAATAAGTGATAATGATGATAAGTGGCCTGTGGTCGAGCCACAGCGCCATCACATGTTAATGAGCTGTTCAGATGAGATCTGTCTATTCAGGATGTGGGAGCCAACACTTCAGAGAGTTGTTACTTAGGAAACACTGTCCTCATTGCCTTAGAAAGTTATCTTGCTACCTTGGGGTGATGACTATGAGAGCAGCTAGTCCCTTGGTTGCGTTTAGGTAAATATCTTAGAGTTTCACTCATTTGTTTCTTTCTTTAGAGACCGTATAAGCTCAAGAGCTCTAAATCATGGAGTCACTGAAATTCTAAAATTACCAAATTCAAGCTGGTTGTCCTTATTGGTGGAATTTTTCTTTTCAGCCTTAAAAATATATGATTTAAAGTCTTTTTTCCAGCCTCTCACTCATTCTCTTTGAGAAGAAAACTTAATTCATTAACACATTCATTCAAGAAATATTTATTGAATGCTTAATATTTGCTACTCATTGTGGTAAATGCTAAGGAAACATCACAAGTTACATGCCACCCCATGCTCACAGAGTGAATTAGTAGTGGTATTGTTGATACAGCGTATTATAAAATTAGTATGAAAAATTCAGTATAGTTCGAGAGCATAGATGAAAGTAACGTTTATTTCCATCCCACTAGATTTCGGTTTTGGAAATTTCTTTAAAAGTGGTGAACTGCTGGCAACATGGTGTGGCAGCCCCCCTTACGCAGCCCCAGAAGTCTTTGAAGGGCAGCAGTATGAAGGACCACAGCTGGATATTTGGGTATTTCTTTGCTTTGCTGTGTTAAATGCATCTATAATGATAACACATTATCATTTTGGCCCATTTTGAAGCTCTTGGTACCTAACACATAGATAGTAGTTCATACTTTTCCTGTCCACTGGCCTATAATTAATCAGAGTAAAAATTGTAGGAAAGAATTTCTAGGGGAAGATGTTATCATCCTAATATCAGCAGTGATTTAAAGTTTAGTAATCAAAATGATTAAGTTTAGTTCTTTTAGTATTTATTATAGGATGCTTTATTGCAGTAGTCAGCATTTCAGCTTTTTTTTTATTATTATTTCTGAGATAGTAGTAAATTCAAACAGAAATTTTCAGTCCATATAATCTTAAGAGTTTGAGGATATTTTAGGAAAACAAAGAGAGTTCAGAGTTCTCAGTAGAGAAATTACAGCCTTATTTTCTTCCACAGAGCATGGGAGTGGTTCTTTACGTCCTTGTCTGTGGAGCTCTACCTTTTGATGGACCAACTCTTCCAATTTTGAGGCAGAGAGTTTTAGAAGGAAGATTCCGGATTCCATATTTCATGTCAGAAGGTAACAACCTGTTTATCTTAAAATTGTGCTTTACAGAATTTTTTCTCCAAATGAATGCCTGAAGAAAGACTTCTCTTTTTCTAAGAGTTTGGGTGCCAAATAAAGTGACTGAGTCACTTTAAAAGTCATAGAAATAAGCAACCCCCTCCATGTAGGTAAGAGAAATTCCAGCCTTCCTACTTGTAAGTGGAACAGAGAGTGTCCCAGATTAAGAACAGTAAATCTTCCCATTTGCCCTCGTCTGTGAGTGTTCTGGGTGTTTATTTTAGCCTTTGAGAAGCACTTTGTAGATACAGATTTACCACCATGTCACGCTAAGTATGAAATGGATTTTCCCATATCTTCTGGTGGGAGGTTACAAAATTAAGCTTTTTATTTAAACTTGAAACCAACTAGCAAAACAACTGAATTAAGATGAAGTGCTATAATCCCTTCCAGTCTTGTATTGAGTTGCTGCATAGGCAGCAGTTAAGTTCACTCAGTTTAGATTTTCGTTATCATCCTTAACTTACCAGTTCCTAGTAACAGAAGTAATGTTCTGGTACTTAAGAGAGTGGATTTTGGAGCCAGACTGCCTGGTTTCATCCTGAGTACACCACTTACTGGTGGTCTGACCTTGGCAAGTTATATTTCTGTGCTTCAGTTTCCTTACTCTATAAAATGGAAATAACAATAGTTCCTAACAGGGATGTTGAGGGATTAATTAAATTAATCTGTGTCAAGCTCTTAGCATGGTGCCTGGCGCTTAGCTCGTGACGGAAGGTTAGCTTATGTGGGGTAGTAAGGAGGGTGATATCAGCTCAGAGGATAAGCAAGTGTCCAGAATTGCGGCAGTGCAGTTCACTTCGTGTCATCAGAAGTAACTGCTGTTTCACCCACATTTTTCTCAGTTGCACTGAAATGGAGAATAGCAACAGTTCCTTGGAGGGCCTTGCCTCACACAATCTTAGTGTATCAGCCTCAGAAGTGACCGGAAGGATCCATTACTATTTGTTGTTCTAGGAAGAAGACTTTTCTCTCTCTCTTTCTTTAGTGGAAATCTAAGTCTGTGTCTAGATATTTTCAATTGAGAAATTCAATAGGAAGGTTCGTTTAGTACAGATTTGAATAGACCTACATCCTCCTGTTTTTCTTAAGTATTCATTCACGGAGATGGTTAATTTCACATGTCAGCATTCATTGTGTGAACTGGATGAATACAAATAGCCTTCAGGTTTTATTTACTCATTTGACCTTCTGCTTTCCAGTGGACACTGTGGAGGATACAAAGATTATCACCACTGTACAAAGTCATGAGTCAGGTAAATACCGCTCAGTGCAAGGCAAATCACATGACTTCTGTAACACTGTGTTTTCTGTAGATTGTGAGCACCTGATTCGAAGGATGTTGGTCCTGGACCCGGCCAAACGGCTGACCATAGCGCAAATCAAGGAACATAAGTGGATGCTCGTGGAAGTTCCCGTTCAGAGGCCTGTTCTTTATCCACAAGGGCAAGAAAATGAGCCGTCCATCGGGGAGTTTAATGAGCAGGTTCTGCGATTAATGCACGGCCTTGGAATAGATCAACAGAAAACCATCGAGGTAAAGGGATTGGAGATTTGACTAAAGATGTTTCAGGACTCTGTTGTATCAATGCTTAGTAACTTAAAATTTCATTCTCATACTTGTCATCCTGGTCTTCTGGCCAAACCAGCGCCTCGGCATGCAGGTCAGTGTTCCCTGGAGATTTCAGCACACTCTGTTTTTGGTTGCTCTTTAAATCAATATATAAATTCTTGCCTTTGCCCCATATGCCAAAAAATTCAAAAGGAAGCCTTATGTATGTTTGAGGAAACACAGTGATGAAAACTTAACAAATAAACAGTAGGAAGTTTCTTCTAAGATGAAACATAAACTCTTATACAGGTAATAAGCTAGTTTATATGGCACATAAGCGTGCAGATACAGAACAAGGCAGAGAGCTGAACATGAAGGAAGAAGGGAAGACATCAGGTTTAGGAAAACCAGTGGGATTTAGTTGTGAACTGAAGAAACTCAGAAGGCAACAACAGCAGGTGGATTCCTGATTTGGAAGTTGTGTGGGTCATAGATCTGAGAAGGTCATGGACCTGGGAGATTCCTCATCAGCTTTATTTCTGCCCTTTAGTAGTTAGCATATTCATAGGATATACATATTTTTAATACCTCCACAGCAGTCAAAAACAGTATTTTTAAGAATGAAGCATGACAAGAATATAAAATACGCCCCAAGAAGACAGAGTACCGTGGCCCGTGCTGCCTTTCCTTCACTGTAGCCAGAGTGAAGCCACACTGCTCTGCTTTTGCTTATCACGGGCTCAGCGAGGCTTTTTTGTTCTTGCCCGTGACGGCAGCTGTGAACGTGGTTCCCTCAGCCCGCAATGTTTGCTGCCGGCGCTCTGCGCCCGAGCTTCACGGCACAGCACCTATGCAGCCTGTCACGTGGAATTAGAAGCCAGAGGAGCCGCTGTTTTTCTTTTTCATTAGCATCATTGGAGAGCTGGCCGGCCAGGGATGTGAAAAATTGGGAAGCAACTTTATTTTCAAGGTTTCAAGAGGGTGGGACTGCAAAAACAAGAGGAAAAAATTACCTAAGAATGGAGACACAGCGTCTCTCAACCTAGTGTCCAGATGTCATTCTCCAGCCCAAAATAATCACCAGAAATTTCCCCAAAGACTTTAATCATTGACTTCAGGGGTGGCAGTGGTTTGGGCCTGTGTCGAGGCTGTGGAATTAGAGCCTGTGGGCTCAGATTGCTAACCAGCCTTACAGCCATGAGATGGGACTGCAGTGACAGTGTTGGGGAACGTCTACAGGAGACAGTGATGGCATTTTCTCTGCATGCAGAAAAATAAATGGATCCAATTAATGTGAAAGGGCCAGTCAAGTCATTCAGAGGTATCACCCTTTATACACTTAATGAAGTTATCTGTTTTCTATTCTGAATTCTGGAATACCTTTCATCTTGAGGCATACTTTGCTTGTTACTCTTTTTTTTTTTAAGAACACATGATATCTTCCCTCCCTTCTTTATTTATTTACTTATTTTAGCCAGACTCCTTGCATTCTTTTTTTTAATTAATTTATTTTTTTAATTGAAGGATAATTGCTTTACAGAATTTTGTTGTTTTCTGTCAAACCTCAACATGAATCAGCCATAGGTATACGTATATCCCCTTATGTTTTTAATTTTATTGAAGAATAGTTGATTTGTAGTGTTGTGTTTTTCCCCCCTTTTTTAGAAAGGTGTAAATTACTGAATTGGTTTTTATGGTTCTCTGCCTTTGGCACTTGTTTTCTCTTGCAGGCTTTGCAGAACAAGAGCTATAACCACTTTGCTGCCATTTATTACTTGTTGGTGGAGCGCCTGAAATCACACAGGAGCAGTTTTCCTGTGGAGCAGAGACTTGATGCCCGCCAGCGTCGGCCTAGCACCATCGCCGAACAAACAGTTGCCAAGGTAACGCCCTATTAGCCAATAGTCTTATCGGTGCGTATGCCTGTTCAGACGCTTGACGCGTTTTTCATGGTATAGTACAAAAGACTCGGATTTCATCCTCTACACCTTTTTTTCTGTAAAGTTTCTGTCTGTCGTTTACTAGGTTCTCAAACATTTTACCATCTTCCTATTTGTAAGGATTAATTTTATTTCAGACAGTTTTTTTTTCTTTAAGAGGCTTCTCTTTTTTTTTAATCATTCATTTATGTTGAGAATTAATGCAACTAGTCTGTACATTCAATTTCATTTAATAAATTTTTATTGCAGATTTACTGTGAAAGCTTCACTTATTAGGCATTACAGGGAAGAAGATGTATAAAATGTACCCTCAGGATGTATAAACGTGCCCTCAGAGTTATTACATTATAGAAGCAAAATAAGACAACATCATGAATAGCAATCCTTCGAAAATAATGAAAGGCAAAATGTAGAAGATGCTATGAATGTCATCATTTTGAACTTGTGTAGATGTGTGATGGAGAGAATGTTCTTTAGAAAAAGGGCAAAGGGGAGAGAGGTACATCTGATCGGGCAAGGCTTTGTGGGAGAGATGGCATTTAAGATGGAGCCTCACAGCTGCTCAGGAGAGGCAATAGCTAGAGGCATTACATGTAGACAGAAGCAGTGTGAGCAGAAGTACTCGAGTGGGCCAGCGTAGACTTGTTCACATTAATTCACTTGAAGAATAGGGAAATGAAAGAGTCGGAGTGGTTAAGTTGAAGCCATGCTGTGAAGGGATTGAATGCCAAGGTAAAGGAGACAGTTGTTGTTCAGTTGCTCACTTGTGTCCAACTCTTTGCGACCCCGTGGCTGCAGCACGCCAGGCTTCCTTGTCCTTCACCATCTCCCAGAGCTTGCTCAAACTCATGTCCATCAAGTCGGTGATGCCATCCAACCATCTCGTCCTCTCTTGTCCCCTGCTCCTCCTGCCTTCAATCTTTCCCAGCAACAGGGTCTTTTCAAATGAGTCAGCTCTTCACATCAGGTAGCCAAAGTATTGGTGCTTCAACTTCAGTTTACTAATAATTCAGGAAGAAATGAGGAACTGCTGAAGACTATTAAGCAAGAAAAGTGATAAAATTATATTTCACTTTAAGCTAAGCAGTCTGCTAACATTGTGAAGGACAGACTAGATAGGGGAGAGAAGAAATTTAGAGAGCACTGTTAGATGACTATAGTTGATGAGAAATACTGAAGACTGAACTATCATGGTGCCAGTGGCAGGAAGGGCGAGTATGAGGAACTCTCCCAGGTGGACCTGGCTGAACTCAGCCGTGGTCAGGAGAGGCAGCCCAGCATGGTGGTCTCTGGAGCATGTCCCAGATTCTGCCATTTCCTACTGTGCACCTTAAAAAAGTTAGCTGAGGTCTTTCTGTGCCTCAGTTTCTCAAGCTTTAAAGTGGAAATAATTTTAAGATGCTGGGATATTTAAATTAGTAAATAATTGTTCAGCACTTAGTAATAAATAATAAGTGATAAGGAATAAATAATGTTGAGGAGGAAGGGACAAGGAGAGGCGTAGGGACAAGGGACATGGTTGAGCTCAAGGCTGAGGGAGCCGTAGTGCTGGCGACTCGGCTGATGGGGAAGAATGGACCTGGGTCCCCAGAAGGAGGCTAGTGCTAAGGAGAACTGGGAGATGGCCTGTATAGATCATTCACACGATCTTTTAGGATTTCCATCTACTTCTGTGAGTATTGTATTTAAAGTGGGAGTAAGAACAAAAGAGGTTTCACTTTGTATTTCTTGTTTGGCAGTCCTACAAAATTTATAGTATAATAGAATCTTGCATTGACTTCTCCAGAGTATGAGAAAAAGAAACCCAAGGAAATTGAAATCTTCATGATTTTAATAGGCAAATGATATGCTTTGTTATACATACTTTAATATCTCACATAATGTGAATATTGAGACTAATGTGAGTAAAATAATGTATCACCAAAGTTCCAGATATTTGGGTTGAAGTATCTCTGAGCACTTGTAATCCTTCAAAGTGGAGCAGTATTGCTTTCAAGATAGAGGGGGCAAAATGAGAATTCCAAATTTGGGGCAGCAGTAGGAAAATGGAGATGACCCTTCCCTTTTTTTTTTTCCAGTTTTTTAAATTTATTTATTTACTTATTTATTTATTTTTACTTTGCAATATTGTATTGGTTTTGCCATACATTGACATGAATCCGCCATGGGTGTACATGTGTTCCCCATCCTGAACCCCACTCCCACCTCCCTCCCCATCCCATCCCTCAGGGTCATCCCAGTGCACCAGCCCCGAGCACCCTGTATCATGCATCCAACCTGGACTGGCGATTCATTTCACATGTGATAATTTACATGTTTCAATGCCATTCTCCCATGTCATCCCGCCCTCGCCCTCTCCCACAGAGTCCAAAAGACTGTTCAATACATCTGTGTCTCTTTTGCTGTCTCTCATACAGGGCTATCGTTACCATCTTTCTAAATTCCATATATATGCATTAGTATACTGTATTGGTGTTTTTCTTTCTGGCTTACTTCACTCTGTATAATAGGTTCCAGTTTCATCCACCTCATTAGAAATGATTCAAATGTATTCTTTTTAATGGATGAGTAATATTCCATTGTGTGTATATACCACAGCTTTCTTATCCATTTGTCTGCTGATGGGCATCTAGGTTGCTTCCATGTCCTGGCTATTATAAACAGTGCTGCGATGAACATTGGGGTGCACGTGTCTCTTTCAGATCTGGTTTCCTCAGTGTGTATGCCTAGCAGTGGGATGGCTGGGTCATATGGCAGTTCTATTTTCAGTTTTTTAAGGAATCTCAACACTGTTCTCCATAGCGGCTGTACTAGTTTGCATTCCCACCAACAGTGTAAGAGGGTTCCCTTTTCTCCACACCCTCTCCAGCATTTATTGCTTGTAGACTTTTGGATAGCAGCCATCCTGACTGGCGTGTAATGGTACCTCATTGTGGTTTTGATTTGCATTTCTCTGATAATGAGTAATGTTGAGCATCTTTTCATGTGTTTGTTAGCCATCTGTATGTCTTCTTTGGAGAAATGTCTGTTTAGTTCTTTGGCCCACTTTTTGATTGGGTAGTTTATTTTTCTGGAATTGAGCTGGAGGAGTTGCTTGTGTATTTTTGAGACCCTTCCCTCTTGAAAATGCCACAGCAGCAAAATAAGAAGCAGGAAAGCCCCACACTGAGCAGCTGCCCTCCCAGGTCTCTGTTCTTCTGAGATGTTACACAAGTGAGGGTTACATAAACGATTGTTCCAAGCACACGCGTCTGTTATTGTACATGATTTCCTTTTCACAGCTAAATTTGAAGCAAGTTCCTTAGATCTCAAATTGTATTTCATTTGGCTTGAGGTTCAGATGTATTAGCATAGCTTCTTCTATTTAATAATTATTTTTTATTACAGAGCACCCCATGAGTTCTTTTCATTGTATACATTGACCTAAATTATCATAGAAAGCTGTTTCCTGTGATTGAAATGTATCTGAATAGTAGAAGTACTCGTTCACAGACTCATCCTGAGTCCCGTCTGAGTGCCAAGCAGCAGGCGCTGGGTTGAAGTTCTCCCTTTCCTATGAGACTGCCTTCTCATGTTTCATGTTGAGCTTGTTAAAAAATAGATTTCTCTGTTTTTGTGAATATAAATATGCTTAAAGTTTTAGTAGAGCCTATCCCCTTGAATTCTTTGATGTTCTGCTCTCTTTTTAAAGAAGTGGCAGATCGCTTATTACTTGATGGAGCGATAGGAACCGGGGAGGTCACAGGATCCCATGCAGAGGTCACATGAGCAGTGCAGTCAGGCAGACCTTGGGCTCCCTAGCGAGCTGAGTGACGTCAGCGAGCCAGCATCTCTGAGCTCTGGTGTCCTTAACTATAGAATGAAAACAGCAGTACCTCCTTACTTTACAAGTTTCCTACAGAGATGAAATTGGTTAATTGATTCCAGCAGTTCAGTTCAGATAGAGCACTCATGTGCCAAACACAGTGCCAGCCATCGTGGTTTCATAAGTGCCCAGAAAGCAACCCCTGGGAATTTATGGTGTAATGATAAATAGTCTATGAATACTACTTAGAAAACAGTGAGATTCCCATCTTAGATGGATTGAGAGTACTTATATTTGCCACATAATATGCAGGAAATGGCACCCCACTCCAGCACTCTTGCCTGGAAAATCCCATGGACGGAGGAACCTGGTGGGCTGCAGTCCATGGGGTCGCGAAGAGTCAGACATGACTGAGCGACTTCACTTTCACTTTTCACTTTTATGCATTGGAGAAGGAAATGGCAACCCACTCCAGCGTTCTTGCCTGGAGACTCCCAGGGATGGGGTCGCACAGAGTCGGACACGACTGAAGTGACTTAGCAGTATGCAGGAAACACAACATCTGATCGACTGTAGTGACTGCTAAAAAATATGCCTTTTTATTGTGAATTCTGTCTGCTGGTTTTCAGCTGTCCTTCAGGAGCACTGAAGATCTTTCCCGTAGGAGAAAGCGTTTTATTTTAATGGTGCTGGAAAGCATAAAATCAGGAGAAGAGATTCAAGATAATAAATACGTGATCTAAAATGTTATTGCAGTTAGTGGACGTGGTCATTATTTATGACCACTCTTTTTAAAAATTTTTATTGACGTATAATTGACTTACAGTGTTAATTTCTGCTATACAGAAAAGTGACTGAGTTACACACATGTGTGCATTTTTTATGTTCCTTTCCATTGTGGTTTATCCCAGGATATTGAACCTAGTTCCCTTGTTATTTATCCGTTCTGAATGTAAGAGTTTGCATCTACTGTCTGCAAACTCCCAGTCCTCCCTTCCTGCAAACCCCTTTCCCATAATAACCACAAGTCTGTTCTCAACGTCTTATGAGCCTCTTTCCATTTCCTAGACAGCTTCACTTGTGCCATGTTAGATTCCACATATGAGTGATGTCAACATGGTATTTTCTTTCTCTTTCTAACTTACATCACTTTGTCATGATAATCTCCAGTTGCTTCCACGTTGCTGCACATGAAATTATTTCATTCTTATTATGGCTGAGTAGTGTTCCACCGTATATATGTACCACATCTTCTTTATCCATTTGTCTGCCAATGGAGATTTAGATTGTTTCCATGTCTTGGCTATTGTATGTAGTGCTGCAGTGAACATAGAAGTGTGTGTATCTTTTTAAATTATAGGGATTTTTTTTGGATATACACCCAGAAGTAGGATTGCTGGATCATATGGTAATTCTATTTTTAGTTTTCTGAGGAACTTCCACACTGTTTTCCATAGTGGCTGCACCAGTTTACTCTCCCACCAACAGTGTATGACGACTCCCTTTTCTTCGCACTCTCTCCAGCATTTATTTGTAGACTTTCTGTTTGTGTTAGTTGCTCAGTCGTGTCCAACTCTGAGACCCTATGGACTTGTAGCCCACCAGGCCCCTCTGTCCATGGGATTTCCAGCAAGAATACTGGAGTGGGATGCCATTTTGTTCTCCAAGGGGTCTTCCCAACCCAGGGATCAATCCCTGGTCTCCTGCATTGCAGGCGGATTCTTTACTCTCTGAGCCACCGGGGAGGACTTTTTTTTTTTTTTCAGTTCTACCACTTTATTGCTACCGACCCGTCTCCCTCCACCCTCGTGCACACATGCTCCATCATGTAATCCCATGGAGTCGCCAGGCTCCTCTGTCCATGCGCTTCTCCAGGCGAGGATACTGGAGTGGGTTGCCATTTCCTTCTCCACAGGGAAGACTTTTTAATGATAGCCAGTTCTGACCAGTGTGAGGTGGTATCTCCTTGTAGTTTTCATTTGCATTTTTCTAATAATTAGTGATGTCAAGCATCTTTTCATGTGCCAATGGTGTTTATGGCCACTCTTGAAGAAACTGGTAATATCTGCTTGCTTGGGATATTAATCAACCATCTATTTATTATAATAACATATTATTAACTTCACTTCTTAGTGTTGGGCATACTCTATGGATACTTATACTGTAACTTGTGCCAAAAAGGTTTATTTAATTCCATGACTGCAAGAATCCTAAAAAGCAGACCTCTAAATCTGTCATTGTATTTCCTATGAAGTGATTGTCACAATAAAATGTATTATGTCTCTGTCCTCACCAAGTTCATGGTAAGCTGTTGTAGTCCAGGTTGCATGTGAAAGTTGCCAAGAAAAATGTGTTATGCTTGATCTGGCCCAGCACAATCCTGCCATTTAAAAAGTCACAGCTAAGAAGAGGCAGGAAGTGAGAGCACCATATCCTAGCTGTCATGTTGGTGTCTCATTTCCAGTGCAGTGTCTATACGTAATGCTTTGCCCTAATAAGAAGGAGCAGTCAAGTAAATTTAGGAAACAGAAATCAAAAGTTTAAAAAAAAAAAAAAAGAAATCAAAAGTTTAGCTTTATCCTTTGATTGAAAAGACTGATAAGAGCAAGGAGAATATATCAAATATACTTTATTAGGAAGTTTAATTTTTCCATTGTGGCTAAAACAGTTAATTTAAATGAGTAGTGATGGAAAGGGGAAAAAAAATGTTTAGTTTCAAAAGTGATCTCAGGAGCAGTGATATAAGAAAAGCTATTTCTTTATCATGTTCAGAATGTTTATAGTGCATTTTCTTTCTTTTTTTTTTAGCATCCATATAATACCAGCATTTTACTATTGCTATATTTTATTCTTTATTTCATGCAGTATATCTAATGATGTTAATGTTGGAGTATAAAGCATACTCTATATTCAAAGGTATAGTCAAGGATAAAGTATATTTCTAACACACCCCCCATTATTGAAAACCATCAGTCTGAAATTTTAACTGAGAACCATTAGATAGTATCTGAAAACAAAAGGTTATATTCATTTTGCAATGTAATTCCTATATTAAATTGTGTCACCATTCTAAGACTTCAGAAAGAAGGAGAAAAAAGGAATTAACATTACTGAGTGAAGGACTTTACATGTTACCTTTTACAACCCTAACTTCACTGTGTAGTATTATGCCCTTTTTAGAAGGTGAAGAAAATAAGATTTTAAAAGTTTAGGTAACTGATTAAGTTCACACAATTAGTAAGTGATGGAGTCAGGAATCAAACCCAGGTCTTGGGAAAGGAAAAGCTAGAATCATACCATTCTGTTCCTTTTCATCTGCTTGAATTTAAAACTCACCATCCTATATCTCTTGAAGTGATAATGGCAGAAAAAATATAAGCCATTCCTCTGCCTTTTAGAAACTGGTATAATGATTGTTCCCTCTGATGTTTTACAATGTCTGTTGTGTTCAAAAGAGATCTAAGAAATTATTCTGCCAGTTTTAAAGAGATGGGGAGGAAAGGATTACCCGGAAGTGTCATCTTCCCAATCAATCCGTACCATTGTCATAAAGGAAAATCTCTTTTAAATGATTTTTCAAAGGAAGAGTTTGTAATACTTGTTTACTTGGAGGGTTTAATGGAGGAGACATGGAGAATGGACTTTCTAGAGTAGGCTGACTTCATGAACATACTTGCTCAGCAGTAAGCATCTCTGTTTCTGCTGGACAAGCAGGCTGTGTTTAGTCTACACGTCTCCTTCAGAGAAGGACCTTCCTGCCCCGGCCAAGTAGCTGCTGCTTCTCTCTTCTTCCTCTTCACACACGGCCTTGCCAAGAAATATGTACCATCGTGATATGTACACACCCTGCCAAAAAAAAAAAGATGCAGGTAGATGGCCCTTATTGCAGAATACCTTGTGTTACGGTTAGTTGTGTGTGTGTCTATCTCTGGTTCCATTTTGAGCTCCTGCTTCTTGAGATTGGGACTGTTCTATCCTCCTTTTATCTTTTCAGAGTAATATATTTAAGGATACAGATGATACATGTTTGTTGAATTGGAAAAAAAGAACATTCTTACCTTCCTTTAAAAGACTAGCTTTCTTGTCGTCTCTGAAAGTCACGCACCTCGCCGTGGAACAGGAACGAATTTTTGTACAACCTGTCTCAGAATGATGGCAGAGACTGCTTCAGATTGATACCTACACCTGTACATACTTCATCACGCCTTTTCTGGAGTTCCCAGCAAATCACTGTTTATCCTTTCATTGCACCAGGAAGAATCATCTTATTTCAAGGGATTTGTACATTTATGTATATAGAGAGAGGATTAATGTTCCCAAACTTTCCATTCTTGCCGTATTTACAGGCACAGACTGTGGGGCTCCCAGTGACCGTGCATTCACCCAGCGTGCGAGCGATGCGATCTGCCCTCCTCCCACAGGCATCCACCGTGGACGCCTTCGCGTTTCCCGCATCTGGCTGTCAGGCAGAGGCAGCGTTCATGGAGGAAGAGTGTGTCGACACTCCAAAGGTACGGACGTGTTTGAGAGACTCCGAGCATGCAGGTTGGCTGGAACCGGCAGCGTGGTCCGCAGACGTTGTACTTGGGCTTAGCTGAACTTTGTCATTTCCTCAAGGCACTCAGGAGTGTTGTTTTTGTGCAGAAGACCCGAGAAACGTGTCCACAGATGACCTCGGCTCCCTCTCCATCTTCTCCTCCCCGCGATTATGTAACTCGTCAGATCTCACGTGTACTTCTCAGAATCTTCCTTCCTTCTGTTTCCTTAACCAGTTTCTTCTCACAAGTTCTAGATCCCTCATAGGTTTTGGATTTTTTTAAGCCAGCTGTAATTCTGGAAACAAAAACGTGACTATTGTGCTGACCTGGGCTTTGCCTGTTATTTTGGCCCCTCCTCTGCGTGTGCTGCAGCTACAAAATCATGAGCCTTTTTTGTTCAACTGAATATCTCTTTGTGTCCAGTTTGAGCATACCTAAAGGAGAGGAGTTTATTCTGGTGTGCTGTATGAAGTTGGCCTTTAGTATGTGGAAGATGATAGCTTCTCTCATTTAATGGACGTTTGTTGTTGTTTAGTTGCTAAGTCATGTCCTGACTCCTTTGTGACCCCTTGGGCTGTAGCCCGCCAGGCTTCTCCGTCCATGGAATTTCCCAGGCAAGAATAGTGGAGTGGGATGCCATTTCCTTCTCCAGGGGATCTTCCCGACCCAGGGATCAAACCCTGGTCTCAGGCTTGGTAGGCAGATCCTTTACTACTGAGCCAGCTGGGAAGCCCACTGATATTTATTTCACTTCTTATTTGTTTTATATACTTAGCATCAAGTGATATACTGAAGATCACATTAATGGGCAGGTCTTAGAGTATGTTTAAAATAGACTCATTTCTTCTCTAACTGTGTGAACTTGGACAAAGTGACTGATTTCTTTTTTTTTTTTTTTTTTTTTTTTTTTTTTTATTTTTTTTTTTTTTTTTAATTAAGTCATTCGGCATCTGAAGAAGCTTCGGGTTCAGACTCAGGCAGCCAGTCGGAGAGTGAGCAGGGCAGCGATCCAGGAAGTGGCCATGGCAGTGAGTCAAATAGTAGCTCTGAATCTTCGGAGAGTCAGTCGGAATCTGAGAGTGAATCGGCAGGTTCCAAGTCGCAGCCAGTTCTTCCAGAAGCCAAAGAGAAACCAGCCTCTAAGAAGGAACGGATAGCTGATGTGAAGAAGGTATCGATCAGCCTTGCTGAACAGTACCAGTGCGCTGCGGGCCTGGACCAGGGAGGAGACCTTCGCGTCCTGTGGAGGGCTCCTTAGTATATCCCCATGGTGAAATTCACCTGCAGCTACCTTTTCCAGTAACACACTGTCTCTGGGTCTAAATGGGGACTGCTGTCTGCTCTCCTAGTTAGACACAGGGCTATGAGGAAAATACTGGTGATTACATGAGCCATCCTATAGGGCAGAGAGACTTTCTTTTTATTTTTGGCATTTAAAAAAGGTGGTTAAAACATATATATTTATTTTAGCACAATAGTGAGTAATACCAGAGAAAATCATTCACAGATGATTGTGAAATGCAGTTGTACTGTGATGGATGATTCCAGTCCAAGAATAAGGGATGTTTTATTTTATTAAAGAATAGGCCTCAGAAAAGTAATCCTCACAGAAAAGAAATTATCTGTTCCTAGGCAATGTAGATATTCTTCGCCTAACAGAAGAATTTTCCAGCAGAGAAGGCAAAAAGGTGAAAATTGAGTTGCATAGAATTTTCTCACTGATGTCCAAACTTTGGGATGCATNCTTCTTTCTCAGGATTACTTTGGCTATTCGAGGTTTTTTGTATTTCCATACAAATTGTGAAATTATTTGTTCTAGTTCTGTGAAAAATACTGTTGGTAGTTTGATAGGGATTGCATTGAATCTATAGATTATAAAGTGACTGATTTCTTTGAACTTATATTCTCTCTTGTAAAACGAGGATACCAACTTTATGAGACGGTTGTGAGGATTAATTTAGAGAATGTGTATGAGGTTCTAGGCAAATTGTAGATACTCAATAAATATTGGTTTCCTGTCTTTTTAGCCTCATAGGTAATAAAAAGATGACTCAGACATTAATTCTGCCTCAAAGTCTGTAGTCTAGCAGAAGAGACATGATGCATAACTAACGGCAGTGATGCCGAGAACTGAATAAATTGATACATAATTGGTCCCTTAAAGAGACAAAAATTAAAATGCTGCAAGACTAGAAGACAGTTCCAGTTTGATCAGTAATGTCTTTGGTTTAACTGTCAGAGCTGGGAATTAAGAGACAAAATCAGGATGGATGGAAACAAGGGTGTGATGGCTCTCTCAGTGGAGGGGAGATGTCAGGAAAGCCCCGTCCCTGCAGGTCAGAGCCTGAGCTCAGCATGGCTGAGGGAATGGGCCTGTGAAGGGGAGTTGTACAAAATAAAGACAAATAGCCTTGCCTTAAATGGCGAAACTAAGGAGATAGACTGCCTCTAGTCTGAGGCTCTCAGCATGGGAACATGTTTCAGTGTTATCAGGAGAGTTTTTCTCAGATGGACTTCTCCAGGGTGGTAGGAAACAACTGAAGATTTTTTGATGAGGAAGCACCATGATCCATGTTGTACTTCAGAAATAATCTTGGAAATGTCCATAGCCTGCCTTGAACGGGAGAGGTTCTGGTGGCAAGGACAGCAGGAGGTTAGAGCATGTGTCAGGGGAGACTGATGAGAGACTGAGCCACGTGGTGCCCGTGAGACTGAACAAGAGGCAACGATAGGAACGAGATTGCACAGGTGACGTTGATGGACTGTTAGAAGTCCAAACCAAGGACAGCATTATGAGCCTTGAGGATCAAGAAGGTGAATGTCATTTTCAGAAACAGAGGTAGAGCTGATTCGGAAGTTAAGTAATGTTCAGCTAGAGGGTAATTAAGGCAGCCTGAAGCTAGGCTGCCATAAGCAGGTGTTAAGCGGGGTTCCCGACCACGAGGAGTTAGCGTCCGTGTCCCTGAGGACAAGGCCACTTCCTGTGGACAGTCTGTTTCCTCTGCCTGTGGTTGCCTAGCATGTTCAGATCCTCATCAACCGCTGTTAAATTCCCACCCGGAAATTTAGACATAAATTAGGACAACATCATTCATTTATTTTTAAAATCTAATTCCCTTGAAAAAAAATTAAAATGCAGTGTGCTGAAAGCTTGGCTGTAAGGGCATCAGGCCCAAAACACAGATTGGGCACTGTCTGCCGTATTATATAGGGCAGGCTATTTTTAAAGCTTGTGATTGTTACCGTAACCAGGAAACAGACAGGAAATGAATGATTTTGTGAAAGATATAGACAGAAGCTAGATGGCATATTTGCATTTGTAGGAAGAGCAATGCCACGCTGGAACTGGCCACCCACACTGACAGGCCACCCTGGCGCCCGGCCAGGCCGTAGCCGTGTGCTGTCGTATTCGCAGGCCGTTTCATTTATGTCAGCGGCGCTCTCTGTGCCTCTCCCCTCCCCAGCACCTCTCCCTCTGGGGCCCACAAACAAGCGCACACGCAAAGCCTTCCGACAGAGACACTGGCCCTTTGTTGCTGGTCTGGCTTCGTATGCCCTTACCCTAGCGCCCGTCTGTCGTCTCGAAGGTGCCAAGCGACTGCTCTGTTGCTGCATCATTTCTGCTCAAAATCGGTGGCAGGTACTGTGCCTCTCAGAGGTTTCACCTCTCTTTCCCTCCCGGAAGTTTTCGACTTCAACTTAAAAGTGTCAGTAAAATCCTTCAGGGAGTCTGTGTTGAAACATGGCTTTGGGATTGCTGCAAAAGATAGCACCTTTCTGAGATAGTCATCCAACTCTGAGCAGTCACCACGACCTCCAGGAAGCACAGAGGCCCATACGGGGGCAGAGCAAGCCTGCAGGGTTAGTCTCTCTCTCTTGAGAGTTTTTGGGGGATAATGGACTTTACACCCACACATGCACAGATACTTTTAACATTTTATTAGAGGTTATAATAAAAGGATTTTCCAAGTTACCATCTTCATATCTGGAGAGTGGAAGGAAACTATGAAACTGTAGTAGAGCTGTTCCACATCTATTGACATTTTTAATATTTTAATTATTAATTATAAAGGTAGCACACATAAGACAGAGTCTTAAAAGGATCGTCAAAAACCTTTCATAGCTTAACCCCTCCAAGACTTAGTCAAGGGGAGAAATTCCTCTGAATTTGAATTTTTAAATTTATAATGAAAATACATCAATCAGAATCACACACAGAAAATTCAGAGAGGGATAAAGGAAAAAATTAACTTACTCATAATCCCCCTACCCAAAACAAAGGTAAGCCCATTTTTGACATGTTTCCTTAGAGTATGTTATAGATGGATAGATAGATGGATGGGTGGGTGGATGAGTATAGGGTGACTCAGCATGTAGGTAGTCTTGTTAAAACAAAATCTTATTCTATTAAATATAATTTCAAACCTGCTTTTACATAATATCATGGGCATTTTTTTTTCCATACCATGAAATCATCTTTGAAAGCATGGGTTATATTTAACAACTGCTTTATATTAGATGTACCCTTATTTAACTACTCACCTATTTTTAGACACCAAGTACTTTAAATTTTTTTTTTTGCTGCCTTATATATGCTTCAGGGATATGAATATCCCTGTGTCTAAATTTTTGACTATAGCTTTGATTATTTCCTGAGGATAAATTTCCAGAATTGGGGTTATCCAGTTCTTTCCTTCCTTACCTGGTTATTTATTTTAATTTGCCTCAAGATGGTAAAAATGCTTTAAAAGAAAATGTTGCTTTATTCTCATGCTTTAAACAATTTTATGATTATAAAGTATTATCTTCAGTCAAGAAATGATGATAATATATACAGTGTTTTAGTTATCCCTTCTGGAAAACTTTACTCTCATTTTACAAGTGGGAAAAAATGAGCTTTATAGATGTTAAGCAACTTGCTTAATAAGAGCTGAGGTTTTATCCTCTTCAACATATGCTAAACTTGCCAGGTACTTAAGATATGAATTAAATAAGGCATGTTCCAGCCTCCAGACTCACTGGCTAGTACTGTGCATTAGTCTGCTGTGTTAGCACAGGCTGCCATGCAAAATGCCACAAACTGGGTGGCTTAAACAACAGGAATTTATTTTCGTAATAGTTCTTGGAGGCTGGAAGTCCAGGATCAAGGTTGTGGCCAGTATGACTTCTGGTAAGGGCTCTTCCTGGCTGGTAGAGGACTGCCTTCTCATGTCCTTCCATGGCCTTTCCGCTATGTTCTCATATATATATAGAAAGAGTTTTCTAGGGTCTTTTTGTGTAAGGACACTAATCCTACCAGATCAGGGCCCCACCCTTAAGACCTGATTTAATTACATTTCTCTAGAGACTCTGTCTCCAGATACAGTCACACTGGGGTTAGGGCTTCAGTGTATGAATTTAAGGGGAGATGCAAACATTAAGTCTATAACAGTCTACCAATCTCCTGTACTAGAATCCTGTGTTTGTGGTAAGCTCAGGGGTGTTATTAGCGGTGGAGTTTCTGAGGGTCTGACTCCTACGTGTATGCTACCTACTGCATGTGAGGTCTCTTATCAGAAGTGAAGTGATTGATCAAGTTTAAGGAAAGGCGAAAGCACTTTATTGGGAAATGTACCTTTCACTCACACTGTGTTTTGAAGTACTGTCCTCAAAAGGAAACACTCATCTGGGGAAGGGTGAAGGGGGGCCTGATTGCTGCTGGCCAGCATTCAGAGCTGTTGTTTCCTAGTGCCATGATCCGTCTCGGTCTAGGAAAAGAGCATCTGTCATCCTTCATTTTGAACGACCACTTGTCACTTTAAAACCTTCTAGTGCATTAGCCGCCTTATCCTAGTAATGGCTCCAGCCCCAGGACAGTTTTTGTGGGATAACTGTCCCCTCCCCCAAGCAAACAGCCATCTGAGCCGCCCAAGTCTCCCTCTGCAAATAAAGGGCCTCGCAGCGCCTCCGGAGCGGTCGCCATGAGAGGAAGGTTGCCTGCGTCTGGCACGGCCGCTTCCAGTCCCCTCTCACGTGCGTGAGCTGCTCCTGCTTCCAGAGGAAACAATAGCTCTCGCGGGTGTTCCAGGTGAAAGTGCTGCTGGGAACACAGCCTCTCGCCTGGCTGCTCCTGAGCAGCTATTCATAGGAGAAAACTGGATGGGTGTCCACAGGGGGATGGTTAAGGTAATGAGGTAAATAATTGCCTCCTCACTGGGGCTTTTACAGCCAGAAGAGCTGAAACCACAACTCCCCTTGGTGCCCCTTTGTGCCGCTCCTGCCCGCCTCGAGGTGGTTTGCTTGGCAACTGCAGCGGCAGGCAGAGTTCTCATTCACGAGCTGTGCCGAGCTCTTCCCCTTGGGGTAGGAAGCGTGGACACTGGGTATATTGCTGGAGGAAGGAGAATTCAGAGCCTTGGTGCTCGTTAACCTCTGCTGGAATTCCGGGCCTCTGAGTCATTTGTTATTCTATAATGGAAGGCTTTGGCCGTTTGCCATTTGGATTTTTTTTTTCCATTCTTTTTTGTGGTATGTACATCTTTAAAGAATTCTTTTTTCCATTCCTGGGGTCCATAGACCCAGTTGAAGACTAAATCAAATGTGCAGGCACTTAGATTCTGAATATAAATATCTGGAGCCTCCGTGTATGTTTTGTGGTTGAAAATTAGAAAAATGCTGATGACTCCTCTTTTCTTAGCTATGAGCCATGTAGTAGGATGTTTTTTAATTTCATCTTCCCCCTCTTCATTTCCCTTCTTAAAAATAATAATAACTGGTAGGCTTCAAGCTAATATGCCCTATTCATCTGGAAACCACTAAAAAAATTGTTTATTGTAATAATGATGACTCAGAGAAGCCTGGGCGGCAGCGCCAGTTTGGGACATAATGGGCTTGTGTCTCTTAGCGCTGCAGTTGACTTGCTGTAACTTCTAGTCTCCACAGTTGTCACTGGTAACAAATATGGACATTTTTAATATTTTACTTAATTTCTGATTGGCTGCAGGTCTCTTGACATTTTTACCTTTGTGGATTTTTCAAATGTCGCAGCCACTGATGGTTCCTCTCGCGTCCCTCTGCCACTGACGTTTAGGTCAACGGCTGTCTCCTGGACCCTGTGCCTCCCGTCCTGGCAAGGAAGGGGTGCCAGTCCCTGCCGAGCAACATGATGGAGACCTCCATTGACGAAGGGCTGGAGACCGAAGGCGAGGCCGAGGAAGACCCCAGTCAGGCCTTCGACGCCTTCCAGTCCACACGCGGCGGGCAGAGGCGGCACACGCTATCGGAAGTGACCAATCAGCTGGTCGTGGTGCCTGGTTCAGGTATGATTTCTAGTAAGCACCGGGTTGAGTCTCTGCAGCATCTTGTGTCGTCTGCTCCAGGAGATAGTAGTGATACCAGCCAGTTCCTGGAATGTTGTTTGTGTCCTGTTCCTTTGTGGACAGCATTCAGCAGGAGTTGAGATTAGGTCTGCTCAGCAACTCACAGAGATTAGACTGGAATGTCTGTGAGTTGTCCCCCACCCCCTACACCCAACTCCCGGGACTCATCCAAGAGCTACATAACTCATAAGGACTCTGGCTCTTCTGGAGTAGCAAAAATCATACCGTCCCAAATTCTGGAAGTGTTTTCCCCCACAATATTCAAAGCTGATTCAGTTGACATGTAAAAAAGTTTTGAAAAAATGTTCTGGTTGGAGGTTGAAGACATGGTAACTGTGGAAACTCACACTGGCCATGCTTTGTATTCCATGTTCCAAGAAGATGCTGTTTATTGGTGGTCATATTGGTGTTTTGTTTTTGTTTTTTCTCTTCAAGGGAAAATTTTCTCCATGAGTGACAACCCCTCCCTTGACAGTGTGGACTCTGAGTATGATATGGGGTCTGTTCAGAGGGACCTGCACTTTCTTGAGGACAACCCTTCCCTCAAGGACATGATGTTAGCCAACCCGCCCTCACCCCGCGTGACATCTCCCTTCGTGAGCCTGAGACCTGCCAACCCCGCCATGCAGGCCCTGAGTGCCCAGAAGCGCGAGGCCCACAACAGGTCTCCAGTGAGCTTCAGAGAGGGCCGCCGGGCGTCAGACACCTCCCTCACCCAAGGTGTGCTCTCCCCTGGCTCTAAGCGCTTCTGTTGTAGGACTCCCTGGGGTCCATTGCCATGTTGGTTTCATACCTGTGCTCACTTGAAAGGCCTTGTGTTTTATTTAAACCGTTTGGCCACTGTTCTTTCTTTCAGGAATTGTAGCATTTAGACAACATCTTCAGAATCTGGCTAGAACCAAAGGAATCCTAGAGTTGAACAAAGTGCAGCTGCTCTATGAGCAGATGGGCTCAGAAGCAGACCCCAGCCTGGCCTCTCCCGCCGCTCAGCTCCAGGACCTGGCCAGCAGTTGCCCGCAGGTGGGTGCTCTGGGCCCTGCCCCCGTGGCTGTGTGAGAACTAGGCGTGAGTCTGTCCTGAAGGTGTGTCATTTCATTCAGAGGGTTTCCTCCTCCTGGAGCAGACAGGTCCTTTTGGAAAGCCCACAGCCTGAAAGCTTTCCGTGTTGTTGGTGTCTGCCTGACAGGCTGGGCAGGCCCATCCACTGGCCCAGGTGGTCAACACCACATGGAAACCTAGACACGCTCATACTCTGTGCGGTTCATCGCACAGATTCTACATGGATTCCCTCTTAGAGTCTCCCTGGAACTCCCTCCCCCCACAATGCACGTGTACACATACACAGACACAGAGATTACCAGTAATAACATAAATGAGAAGCTTGTTGCCATTTATTTTTGATGTGGTATCACTTCATTAAATATCATGAGTTATTCGTGCTAAAAGTTCAAAAAAATATGGTTGTTTATGTAATTCATTTTATGTGAGCCCATGTTCAGTACATCAGGAACATTAGAGCTTTTGATGCCATGATAGGAATAAACTGCTGGTGACGGCAGGGCCTTTGCTCCCGTACTGACTCAGTCATCGTTTACTGTGGGTAAACAGCATGCATTCATCCTGTTGTTTAGTTGCTTAGTCGTGTCTGACTCTTTGCAGCCCCATGGACTGTAGCCCGCCAGGCTCCTCTGTCCACGGGCTTCTCCAGGCAAGAATACTGGAGTGGGTTGCCACTTCCTCCTCCAGGGGATCTTCCCGACCCAGGGACTAAACCTACATTTCCTGCATCGGCAGGTGGATTCTTTACCACTGTGAGCCATCTGGGGAAGTCCATATTCCTCTTCTGCAAAGTGATTGACCCTCAGCCTACTAGATACATAAAAGCCTTGAGGATTAAGTCTTAACAGAGTTGGAGTTCCCCTTGGACGCTTGCCAAGGTGCTTCCACTCAGATTTGAAACTTTCTCCCAGGTGGGAAACTGAAAGTGTGTCCCCCCCTCGCTCCCCAGGAGGAAGCGCCTCCGCAGCAGAAGAGCGTTTCTGCGCTCCCCGGGGACAGCGCACACCCGCAGCTCTCCCAGCGCCACAGCCTGGAGGCCCAGTACCTGCAGCACCGACGCCAGGTGGGATCCTCCTCCCCCTTATCGCTCCAGCTCACCGTGATCATCCCCACTCTGCCTCTCTGCACAGCAGGAACCTATTTTGCTTGGTATTTATTTTGGGTAGCTGCTTAATTCATTTATAGGCAAGCAGGTCTGACTCTGCGTTTGTAGTTTCTAGAAACATGTTCAGACTTAGCCTTATGCTCTTATCTTGGCAGCAGAAAAAAAGCTTGTCCTCAGACCCCTGGAAAGGGTGCTGCCACTGAGCAGCAGGGAAGGGAACCCTGGCTTCTTTGCTTCTGTTTTACGCCTCTTGCGTGCATGCTAAGTCGTTTCAGTCACAACTCATTGTGACCCTGGACCACCAGACTCCTCTGTCCATGTAATTCTCCAGGCAAGAATGCTAGAGAGGGTTGACATGCCCTCCTCCAGGGGATCTTCCTGACTCAGGGATCGAACCTGGATCTCTTCTCTCCTGCATTGGCAGGCAGTTTCTTTACTGCTAGTGCCACCTGGGAAGCCCTTATGCCTCTTAGTACTTAGCAAAAAGGTACCCTAAGTTCTCTGTTGGTGCTTGAAACTATTAGATCCCATAAAGAATGAATCATTTGCTCATTCAGTGGGTGCCTTTGCTAGAGATTTAACTCCACCTTTCTCACTGTTTTTAGTCTCCATGAACCTCCTGGTCCTGGAGGACTTTAGAGACAGGAAAGTAAAGCAGGTTAGAACTGAGACAGCCCAGGCCTGCTAACCCAATGCTCTCCCAGGGTCTCAGCAAGCAAGTGTCAGTCCCTGCATCCTGCAGCTTCTGGAGGACTCACGTGGGTTCATCCTCCAGGCAGAAGTACAGGCTGATGACTGTGTCCTAGATGACAACATGTCATGCTTGTATTTTTCTGCTCTTCTAGAAGCCCAGCCTTCTGTCAAAAGCACAGAACAGCTGTCAGCTTTATTGCAAAGAACCGCCACGGAGCCTGGAGCAGCAGCTGCAAGAACATAGGTGAGAGACGGTGGCAGCCAGAGAGGTCACTTTCTTTGTGGCCGACTCCAGCTGGGTGCGTTGTCCTTCCCTCTAAAATTTCCCTGTACCAGGACAACAGGTTTCCATATTCTAACACAGATGTTCCACTGTCCATGGAATTTAGGCCTGTCGGGGAAGAGCAGCCCGAAGCCTGCTTTGTTTTCATTTTCTCCTGGTGTTTCCCCTTTGGTCTGTGAATAAACCTAAGCATTCAGGACCTGGGCGCTAATGCAGTTTAAGAGGGTTTTACTGGAAAGAAGGCCTCCAGCCTCCCTTATAGTAATCTGTGCTGTCTGGCCTCCCTAGTAGAAGCATCTCGGCCAAGTGAAAGTAAAAGTTGCTCAGTCGCTTCGGACTCTTTGCGACCCCATGGAATTCTCCAGGCCAGAGTACTGGAGTGGGTAGCCTTTCCCTTCTCCAGGGGATCTTCCCAACCCAGGGATCAAACCCAGGTCTCCCAGATTGCAGGCGGATTCTTTACCAGCTGAGCAAGGTAGATGTCCCCTAATCCATGGTCCTCCAGAGGCCCACCCCCGCTTCAGAACCCCATGAGAGGGAGTGAGCCCCTTGCTTTAAAGGGAGGAAAAACCCAAGGGTCTTAGAGAAAAGGAATTCACTGTGTTCCTTTGAGCACTGAGGGATCAGCCAGAATTGAGGGACAAAAAATAAGATTGGGTTTAAGAAACCAAATATGACCGGTTCCTACCCCCGTTTTTTTTTTGTTTTGTTTTTTGTTTTTTTCCTGCCTTGGGAAAGAGAGAAGTGGGAGGACGGACGCTAATGACTGATACTGGATTTACATTAGAATTGCCGTCACTGAAGAAGACCTAAACTTCTTTCTTTTGGTATTGCCAACTTAGACTCCAGCAGAAGCGGCTCTTCCTCCAGAAACAGTCCCAGCTGCAGGCATATTTTAATCAGATGCAGATAGCAGAGAGCTCGTACCCACAGTCCCTTCCCCACCAGGAGACGCCGCCGCCCTCCCAGCCGCCGCCGCCTTTCAACCTGACCCAGCCCCTGAGCCCCGTCCTGGAGCCAGCTTCCGAGCACATGCCGTTCAGCCCCTTCCTCAGCCCGTACCCCGAGATGCGGCTGCAGCCGCTGCCCGCCTCGCCGGGGGCCCGCGGGGCCCCGCCGCCCCTGCCGCCGCCGCCGCTGCAGCAGCAGTCGCGGGGCGCCCCGGCCCCCTTACAGTTCTATCAGACTTGTGAGCTGCCGGGCGCGTCCGCCCCGGAGCCCGAGCACCCCGCTCCCGGTCAGTACCCCGCGGATGGAACCCCGCAGAGTGGCTTGGACGGGCCGGACTGTCCCAGGAGCTCAGGACTGCAGGAGGCCCCCTCCGGCTACGACCCTCTGGCGCTCTCCGAGTTCCCCGGACTCTTTGATTGTGAAATGCTGGAAGCCGTGGACCCACAGCACAGCGGCTACGTCCTCGTAAATTAACCTCAGCTTCACAGGAAGTGAGGCGGTTTGGGTGAAAAGAGTGTTGTCTTTCTATTTTTATTCCAGCCTTTTAAATTTAAAAGCTCGTTTTCCGCCCTCTCCCTGATGGGGAAGAAGTCAAGTCACCCAACTGGAATCGGAGGGCTGGCCAGCCAGGTGTCGCCTCCTGCTGGCTCTGCCCCACCGTGGTTTTCTGTGGCAAGTGCTGGAACGTGGTTGTCGGCTGCAGCTCATGCCCTTAGGTCAAGTGGAGGGAGCTCTCAGCGGAGGCACCAACAAAAGTTTCATAAGAAAAAGACCTAGGTTTTACACAGAGCTTTATCAGTTCATCAAGGGAAACCTCAGTGAAAGCAGGAAAAAGAATATGTGCCATTATATGCAGGCAAAAAAAGGCAATATATTTTTCACTGAAACCAAGCAACAGCATGTTCTTCAAAGGCAAATCAAGAATACATATTGAAACTGATGCACAGGAAATAAAGTTGTACTTTGTCGCTGAATCGTTAAGTTCTGAGCTGCTGATGCACGGTGTCCCCAAGATCACTCAAAACGGTGGAGCGTGAGCTCTGTTTCAGGGTCTACTGAGTCACAGCGGGTACTGACTCCTGAGACCGGCGGTCACCTCCATCTGAGCATGGGTGACACACCTCCTCAGGAGGGCCTGGCTTCGAGTGTCAGGGTATCCCGAGAGCTCCCAAAGATGTCACCTGTGGAACCAAGAGACATGTGGCAGTGGAGACCAGGGGCAGGAAAGTCAAGAGTTGGTCAAGAGCAGCGGCCCGGGCCGGGGAAGACGGGCTCTTCCCGCACGGTCTTCTGTGGAGGCTTCCGGTTTGGGGCAGTTGGTCTGTCGAGGACCTCGTGTCTCTTTTAAAAATGTAATAACTACTTTGACTTTACACTAGATGTTGCTAGTTGTTTATTGAGCTTTGTATATTTGGACAGTTTCATATAGGGCTTAGAAATTTTAAGGACAAGGAAAAATGAACTTTTATCTCCCATGTGAAGTGGTAGTGCTGTGCCTTTCCCCTCCCCCAGATCACGCTTTAACAATTTCTTTTCTGTAGAAACCAACAGTTTTCCATTTATGTCAACGCTAAATCCAAAGTCACTTCAGAATTTGTTTTCCACCATGTGGGAATCACATCCTTAATTTCCTTAGAGTTTTGATGTGTAATGAAATGTTCAAGTATTACAGCAATATTCAGAAGACCACAGATGTGTTAACCATTTGAGTAGATTCATCTGCCAAACATGATATATTACTCATACAACTGAACCCTTACAATTCAGTCTTCAGAGTAGGTGAAAAAAGATGCCACAGCTAGTTGACTGTGTAACCTAGAAATAATGAGTAATCTGTCATTGGGACAGTAAGATCCAAGTGATACAAATTCAGTATTATTTACAAAGACTCTCGTCTCTGTCCCTTAGAATGGCTTGTCCTGTGAGCAGATGAACGCGTAAGCACAAAGCATCTCCCTTAAAGCACAGAGAAGAGAGATACTACACTGATGCTGCATCTAGAAAACACCCTTAAGGTGCCTTTCCTCTGTAGTGTGTGTCCAGGCAGGTGAGGAGGAGCGTGCAGGGTCTGCGGGTTCCGTGCCGGCTCCTCTGGGCGCTGGGACACTCCGCAGGCACTCTGCTCGGGGCTGGACTTGGTGTGAGCACGGGAGGGCTGTGTGGAGGACTTGTTTTTGTTTTTGGATAAGACGCAGCAGAAACCCAAGAAGGAAGAAGTACGTTCCTTCTACGAATTGTTTATTCCTCCTCATGCTTAAGATGGATGATTTTGTGAAATAGGCAACATCGTTTTAAGAGATCCTTTCATTAAGATCTCTAATCTGTTCTAAGTTTTTGCAAAATAAGCCAGTTGTAAAACAAGCTTGATTTGTTTAGACTGAAGGGTGTTTTCCCAAAATGTTCTACAGAAGCGCTATAATATTTATGAAATTAAAATGCCTTCCAGATTGAAGACGGGGGCTGCTCATTTCAGAGCCCCCAGGATGGCAGTTACAGACCAGGCCATGAGCCGCTGAGCCCAGGAAAGCTGGGGCTCCAGCAGGACCACTGGGCTGACGACCGGGGCAGCAGCGGCTGTGGAAGTGTCACGGCCCCGGGGGTGGGCCCTCGGGAGCACCCAGCAGTGCCCGGTCTGTTCAGACTGCAGACCGCGGGCGAGGAGCATGACCCGTCCTGCTGGACTGTGTTGTAAGCTCCTGTTTGCTTTTCTCATTTATTTCAAGCAGAAATCAATAAATTCCATAACGATCTGTATTCTCTGAAATGTAAGCTGGTGAGAGGAGACTGGTTCTGTTGTTCAGTCAGGCATTTGCCCAGCCCCATCTGACCATCTCCTTTGCTCTGTCCCCTTACTAGTGACCTGTGTGAGTCTCCAAGCGGTTTTCTCTTCACAGATACTAAAGTAACACTAAGAAGGCTTAGTACTACTCTTTTTATAAGAGAGGTACTCTGAAACGACGCCTTTGCGGTCTGTCTCGCACCAGTGTGTGTACACTACTGTATGATAACCTTTAGCATCACCCTCTTGTAAACTGGGCTCCTCTGAAGACACTTTGGTGAGACGAACGTGAGGTAAAAACTTCATTCAGCAAAAAGTGCAATATGTGTGGTACTTTCTTTATTTTTCGTTTATGCTTTCTTTTTTAAATCCAGGATATTAGTCTATGCTTTGGGAAAAAAGCACTAGTTCTCCAATTTCCAACTGGGGAAGTGTGTCTCTAGTGTTTACGTGCAGTTGATATGCTGGTCCCTGTAAGGCAAACAGAGCGCGTTAGCACAGCAGGCGGGGGTGGAGGGTCCCCCCCGAAACAGCGGCGCGGACGCCCCCCACCTTCGCTGACGCCTTGGGAACAGAGGCGGCAGAAGGAGGTTCTCCACAGCAGCCATCCTCCAGTCTCCACATGAGGGGCCCGTCAAGGAGGACGAGGAGACGGAGCGGAAGGACTCCTCCCTCCCTGCATCAGACTTGGCCTCCAAGGACAGAGACCGTCAGCGTCCCTTTCTCCCTGAGTGTTGGGGCTGTGACCTGAGCCAGTCTGGTGGGGCTGGCGGGAGTCTCTGAGGGCCTGACGGGGAGGGAGGGGGCCGCCTTGCGGGAGTGTCGCCCTCTCGCGGCGGCACTGGCTGTTTCCTCTCCGCCTGAAAGGGTGGTTCTTAGAGAAATGAATTCTGCCTAACTGCTAGAGGTGGGAAGAAGCGTGTGTTCACAGCTGAAGCGTGACTGGCTGGCCAACCAGATACAAAAGGAAGGTAAAAAGCAGCCGCCTTCGCTCTGGCCGGCCAGGGGTCCAAGTGTGTCGTGGTCGAGAGAAGGCCCTGCTCCGGTGCGGGCAGTTCACGCGTGTGGACGTGAGGAAGTGAATGCTTTCCCCGGCAGGGTTCTCCCAGGTGCTGTCGACCCCAGGTTAATACTGGGTTCTGTGTTGGGGTCAGAATTTTCTAGCCACAATTACATTAAAAGCCCCTAGGAGGAGTCACACTTCAGTTGGCTTAAGGGAAATCTCACTCCCACTAATTTTTCACGTTTGTTCTCCTTTGGGACAATACGTAGGGTCTTTTGACAACACTGGTCCCGAGAGCAGTGGCAGAGTCTGTTCGGGGCTGACCTTGGCTGCGCCTGGACCCCTAAACCGGGCTGTCGCTACTGCCTCCTTGGAAGCCACTCCAGCCACTCGGCCTCTTTGTGCCTAGACATCAAAGGTAAAAACTGGAGAACAGGTAGTAAGTTGGAGTCACTGTACAGGCGGGGATCTTTGATCACTTTATTGCTTCTGGAAGTTTTTCTAGAACTGGTCTTCAGAGTGATGTGTGGAAGACAAGAACAGTTTCATCTGCCTCTTTTTCTAAACTGGGACCAAAAGAATTTAACAAATCCACGTATCCCTTCTGACAGGTTTGGTAGTGCGGTGCTCCCTGGCCTGTGGTCTCAGGGAGGGGGCTGATGATGGAGCACTGTCTGTCAGCCTGCGGCCTCTGGTAGGCATGAGGGGACCCAGGCCTGCCTTCCCCAGTGCCCCCCGGACCCTGGACCCCAAGTCCCTGGCCTCACAGTGCCCCTCCCATCTTTGTTTCACTGCTTCTCCCCTTGAAGGTATCCTGGCTGATTCCAGGAGACTCACAGCCACCCTAGTTATACCACCATCTTGCCCACATCTTATAGGCAGATTTCAGCACATTGGGCAAAGTCGTGCACCTGCTGCTGCAGAGACTGAGGACACAGCAGCACTGCCCGCAGTCAGGGTAGGTTTGCTGGTTCCTGCCAGGCTCAGCTCGTCTGTCCCAAAGGAGCAGTAGCTTCTATTTGTACATTGATTTACCCAGCACTTCCACGAGTGATCTCTGCTAATTCCTCACAGCAGTACTATGAAATTAGTTGAGCAGTTAGTCCTCATTTTTTACGGCTGAGGAAACCAAAGCTCTGTGAAGACTGACATCCAAGCCCCAGAGCTCAGGAGTAGAGGAGCTGAGGGAGGCTCTTGGGACGCTCTTCCCTCCTCAGTAGCAGTTGAGGCATCTCACGAGTAAACAGCTATATAAGCAAAGCCCCCGTGTTGGTTAAGTGCTGGAGGAACATGACATTGTCCCTGAAACCTTGTTCCCAATCGACTGCTGCCTGGCTTTGGTGGAAGAGCTGCCCTCCAGGTAACAGCCCTGCATGAGTGAGGCCCGGGGAGACAGAGCCCTCAGAAGCCGCCTTTCAGTGTCCAGTGAACCGAAGATGCTCAGGCTCATGTCAGATGCCGTGTTTCTCTATCTCCCACAATAAAATAATTTCCTGCAGAAGGTGGTAATAGGACACACCCTTTCTTGATGCCAAGGGTCTAATTGCACAGCTTTAGCCACCATTGCAGATGAACAGACTCAACCCCAAGAAAGGGTCCTGGTTAGAAAAGAATCAGGAGCTCAGTACAGTCCTGAGGAGGGGGGGTGGAGTATATTTACAGTGAAGGCCCATAGAGTTAAAAAAAATAACATACTTTGAATACTTTTGTCTTCAGAGGCAAAGTGGGTGGGTAGGGAGGAGCTTTAAAAATAGAAGTACAAAATAACATCCTGGAAAAATGTGACCCCAGATTGGAATAATGTTACGTTAGCAAATACAGATAACTGGGCCTTGCTAGAGGCTGTGCGATGCTTCTCTGTTCAAGATTTGCTCAGTCAAGGAAATTCATGTGGTGATACCATCCCACTATTGATGCAAAAGAAATCTGCCTCCATCAAAATCTCTGAAGGCAAAAGAACCACAGAGAAAGGAGATTTGCTTCTCTTTGGGGGTTGCAATTTAGGAAACAAAAGTGATAGAGATATTTGCACTTTGTAGAAAGGGCAAGATTATTTGCTTATTTCTGAAGAGAGGAGGGTGGTCTTTGCTGGATGTTTGGCTTGTGAAAGAGTTACTTTTGATAAAATTAATCTAATTGTAGTTATTTTTTCTGTGTGCTTTCTTTTTTTAATTACTAAGAAAAAATGGTGAGTTCAATAGCTTTGGTATTTTGAGTGCAAATCATAATAGCTCCAATGTGAAAAAAATCAAAATGTAACCTGTCACTCAATGTTAGAAAATTGCTTAAAATACAGTTTAATAAATGATCTTTGTATCAAACATAATTTAAATGGGGTAATTTTCTGCAAGGAAAATGTACTGTTTCTACCTTTCCAACCCTCTTGAATTAAAATAAAAACAACTTGTTTTCTAAGAGCCCAGGTGATCTGAATGGCAGGCGGGTGAAGCAGGGCCATTCCCTCATCAGGCCTTGGGTGGAATTTTGAAAAGTATGGACGGTGGCTGTGTTCCCTGAGCTCTGGCGCTCATTTCAGGCTGCAGAGAAGGACAGTGGATAATATGTTCTCATTGACGTCAGCAGGGTAAATAATACCTTGCTCTGAAATCACCCAAGCACACGGTAGTGCTGGAGAACGCTGACCAGAGCACAGCTAACCGCAGTCTGCACACGGCCGGGTTGGGGTGCATGGGGGGCAGCGTTGCCGCCAGCACTCACTCATGGACTCAGAGGGAGCCAGGCGGGGGTCTCTGTGGCAGCAGGGGGAGCTCGGGCTCCCCCGCCCCCGGACATCAAGCTGCAGGGCCAGGGGACACTGGCACGTCTCTGCAGAGCACACACTGTGGTGCCCCTCCCCATGGGACCAGACCCACACACAGGCTGCGGTCCCCGCCCGACAGGAACCAGCTCTGCCCATGGGAGCTGGAGAATCCATCTGGGGCACTCTCATACCTTCATTCGGGACTTGTTTCAGTGCTGGACCCCAAGTGAAAGGGCAGTATTAAAGCCCACTTTCTGGGGATTTCCCTGGCCGTTCAGTGGTTAAGACCCCATGCAGGGGGCCCAGGTTTGATCCCTGGTCAGGAAACTAAGATCCCACTTGTGTGAAGTGTGGCCAAATTAAAAGGAAGAAAAAAAAAAATCCTACTTTCTGGCAGCAAATTTAAGATTTGGCCTCCCTCAGACATTCCGTTGAGCCCATGCTACAGCACTGAGACAGCGCCACACTGAGGGTCACCTGCCGCCCTGGTGGCGTTGGGGGGGGGGGGGGTGCCTGGAGGAGACACCGCCGCCCGCCCTGCTGTCCCAGCACCACCTCCAGGCACTCAGTCCTGCTCCCAAATGGTTCTTGATCTGTTTGGCTACCCAAGAATTCAGTAACACTGTTTCAACTGCTTTTTTTTTTTTTTTGAAGGAAAGCACTCAATTTCAGCAACAATGTTTTGCAAACTTTACCCTTTCCCACCAAATTTCTGCATCATCTTGATTTTGTGTTGCCAAAAACAACCCCAGTGTCCAGGGTACAGGCAAAAATAACAGCTCTGCCAGCAGAGACTGGCCAGAACTCTAGCACGCGGTCAAGCCCTTGACCTTCACGAGCAGAATCTCGGTTCTGTGGCCTTCGTGAGCCAGAAACTCAGTGCAAGGGGCAAGGGCGCCCTGAGCTCCAGACGCGGGACCTCTGGGGTCTAGAGCTTATCAATAGTGCTCCCAACCAAAGCAATGCAGCGTCTGCAGTGCTCCTCACCAGAGTCACTTCCATCGCGGCCAGTCAGGGTCCCACCCAGGGTTCTGTTGACCATCTGTTCCTTTCTACTCCACTAGTTTTTTGGTTTGTTTTTTTTTTTACTCCACTAGTTCTTAAACTGAGGGTTCACAGATGCCTCTGACATGCTGATAAAAGGCTCTGGATCCTCTTCTGAGCAACGAGCAAACATACATATACACAACTTGAGACAGACAATTTCAGGAGAGGAGTTGCTTCCTGGACCTGCTGAGGCCCATTTGTGGGGCTGGAGGGGTTTCTAACCCCCAACTTGAAGCACTAGCATCTCTATCTGCAACCCTTCAGACTCCTCAGTTACCCTCCTGGTAG